TTTGGTAAAGCCTGTGTATGGACTCCCTCTCAGAACAAAGTGTTTAAATGCATGAAGTAAATTATATAGGGTTACAAAGGCATCTAATTATACGGAAACGCAGTTAGAAAATATTAAAATGCTGTGATCTAGAAATATGGTTCTTTTTTATTAACAATTAGTTAACATGCTCTAGTAATGGATAAAAATGATATTTTGAAATATTTGCAGTAACTATAATATAATTGGAAAATGTTTGTGTTTTTTATTGGTGACAAAATCACAGGTACTACTAATACTATTGTGGTTGGTTCCTAACATCTGTAATGAAAGGAAATGTAACATTTTAATCAGACCTGGAAATAAAAGTGAAATTTTTGTTTTTATCCAAATTCAAAGACTTTCTTACTTTTATGAATGGACCATAGTCAAGAACCCCTGGATAGGTCACTTTTTGAGATGTGTTTGTAATTTTAAAATCTGTTTTTATATTAGTAATGCTTATAATCATAAAAAATATGTCAGCTTTTATTATACTTAATAACAGACTTATTCATAGTTTTTGTTATAGTGGAATTTGGTTTTAAAGAATATTTTAAAAGTTGTGATTTTCAGCTGGGACTAAAACCGGTGTAAGTAAGGTTAAAGTGGTAAAATTACTTTAACAACTAACTCCATTTATAAAGAGATTTTACAGGGGCACCTGGGTGGCTCAGTCGGTTAAGTGTCCGGCTTTGGCTCAGGTCATGATCTAGCAGTTTGTGAGTTCGAGCCCCGTGTTGGGCTCTGTGCTGACAGCTCACAGCGTGGAGCCTGCTTCAGATTCTGTGTCTTCCTCTCTCTCTGCCCTCCCCCACTCACACTCTGTCTCTCTCTCTCCAAAATAAATAAACATTAAAAAAAATTTAAAGGGATTATTACAACATGAGGATCCACTTTTAAATTCACTTGCCAAATACAGGCATACTTCCTTTTTGTGACTGACTGATTTAGGAAAGCCATATATTTTATGGGCATTGCTAAAATTCCCATCAAAGAAAAAAATAAATCTGGGTTCAGGCCATATGAAATAGTGCATCTATGATTTTATCTCACAGTAGTTTCTGAGCTTGGTCCTTTCGGAAAAGGAAAATATGTAAGCAAAAAGCAAAACGATTTTCCTTACTGAAGACAAAAGACTGCTTCCCAAAAAAAGCCAACCTAAGAGGAAGCAGTATCTTCAGGAAGAATGGCTGGAATATTGAGAAGATCTACTTGAGTAAAAGCCCTAACATGCCTCTGGGGAGTTAAGCTCTGGATAAAGAATTCAAGGTACTTAAAACTTTTTTTTAAAAAGCCAGCCCATTTTAAGGGGCAGAAGTTCTGATGATCTGAATCACTTAAGAAATGCTTTAATCCCAGAGGCATACCCAGGCTGCTGTTTCCTATAGCACAAGTTCCAAGATGGGATATATTACAAGAAAAGCAGCCAGGCCTATTCAGGTTAAGTTTGAGGATACAGGGTCTTTTCAGTGAAGTGAGCATTTGGTATTTATGACTTCCTGTTCTGTGTTCCTGTTTCCAGAATCCATAAAAAATATTTGGCTTTTTAGATATTTCATCACCAAATAGAAGAACCTGTCGTTATCATAATGATAGTTTGTAGGACACCCCAAACTTGCTTAAGAAACGTATTTTTACTGTGCTTCCTGGTCAGATGATAAAATTGAGATTTCAGAGGTTTAGTGGTTTGTCCAAGACCACAGCACTGCGGATGTTGTGGTGTTCAGATCAGAACCTAAGTTATTTGTGTCTGAATTTCATGTTCTTTTTACTGGACTCTGTGGCCTTATTAAAATTTTTTAAATGTTTATTTACTTTTGGGAGGGGGAGGGGCAGAGAGAGAGGGAGACACAGAATCCGAAGCAGGATCCAGGCTCTGTGCTGTCAGCACAGAGTCCGATGCGGGGCTCGAACCCTCGGACTGTGAGATCATGACCTGAGCCGAAGTCAGATGCTTAAACTATTGAGCAACACAGGCACCCTTCTGTGGCCTTATTTATAGCCTCTTTAAGGAATGGACAGTGACTCACAAGAAATCACATTTCAATAAATATTCAATAGATCTAATTATTGAATATTTAGTCTACAAATATTAATCAAACGGCTACAGTGTGACAAGGTGATATGCTAGGCACTGACCTTATAATGTGAAGAAAATGGACATGGTCTCTAAGTGAAGCTTACAATCATGTGGGGCAGGCGTGAAATGCATCATTATAGTAAAGTGTGATGATGTAAGAGTTTATGGTACTATGTAGGAGGGACTGGGCCTGCTTTCATGTACATCAGTATCTGAGCATACTGGGTTGTGTCCTTCATAGTGTTCTTCATACTGCATATACACATACCATTCTCATTCAGAATACGAGTATCGGAGTCTTTCTGCCTGGGTTTTTGAGTCCTTGTTTCTTCATGTACTTGGCTTGTGTGATCTTGGTCAAGGTTCTTAACCTCCATGTCCCTCAGCTTCGTCATCTGTACAATGGGATAACAGCAGTACCTACCTGAAAGAGTTAGTGTGGAGATGTGAGATGATCATTCTAAAATGCACAGAATGGGGTGCTTGGGTAACTCAGTCAGTTAAGCGTCTAGCTTCGGCTCAGGTAATGATCTCACGGCTCGGCTCGTGGGTTCAAGCCCTGCATCTGGCTCTGTGCTGACAGCTCAGAGCCTGGAGTCTGCTTCACATTCTGTGTCTCTCTCTCTCTCTGCCCACCCCCCTCATACTCTGTGTGTGTCTCTCTCAAAAATAAATAAACGTTAAAAAAATTTTAAAAATGCACAGAATAGGGGCACCTGGGTGGCTCAGTTCATTGAGTGTCTGACTCTTGATTTTGGCTCGGTCATGATCTCAGGGTTTGTGGGTTCAAGCCCCATGTAGGCTCTGCACTGACAGCGTGGATTCTCTGCATTGGATTCTCTCTCTCTCTCTCTCTCTCTCTCTCTCTCTCAAAAGTAAACATTAAAAAAAATTTTAAATGCACAGAATAGTCCCTGATACACTGTACGTAAAATGATAGCTGTTATAATTTTTTGTGGTTTATTCCTCCCTTAGTGTGTGACAAGTGTTCCTTTGAACTTGTGCTTACAGCTTGCTGTGGGTTAATGTCCACAATTAATGCTTGTTAATCCTGATGCCATCTGCCACCTTGTCCAGGCCCTGATGTTTTGACTTCAAAGTAGAGTGTCTTTGAGAGTTTTCTATCAGTGTTGATCTGGTCCATTTCATAAAGCTCTGCCTAATACCCGTGTTAAGACTCAGCTTTTCCCCTTTAGTCTTAAAGGAAGCAGAGATGGGCCTCATATCTTTGTTGAAATTCTACAAGGTGCAATTTGAAGTTGGATTGACCTTCAAGCTGACAAAGTAAAATAAACAGTTTTATAAATGAAAATGGCTAATCTGAAATAGATCACAGCTAAGAACTTCATTTTTTATTCATTCTCTTCATACAAGGTTGATATCATACAAGTGAACATCTAATATTGTACTTCATTGTGGGGCTCACCAAAGATGCAGTTAGAGGAAATTGAGGGCACAGTGGACTTGCAGAAAACAGAGAATATGTCTGTAGTCCCTTATTTCAGAGAGTTATTATATTTAAATGTAGATATGCCTAATTAAAAAAATAGTTACTAAAATTTTGCTGTTGAATTCTTTTTCTTTTGAACTGTTCTGGATTCCTAGAAATCAACTTAAACTGGCATGTTTTAAAACAGTTTTTTTTTTTTTTTAAGTATGGCAAAGCATCACATAGTTCAGGAAATCTGCCTGAAGTTGTGGAAGGTTAGTTGCTTCAAACTCATGTCCTTTTAAGAGTGCTTTGTAGCAATTTCAGTTTTTCAGCAAAGAAAATCTATCAATTAAGAACCCACATATTTACCAGAGAAAATATAGTAGAAGAAAAAAATCTTTTAACAGTGTGGGGAATAAATCACAGGATCTATACATCTCCGCATACTTCCTGACAGCTGAATCTAGTGCCTTTGCACAAAGGAGAAGCTTTACTACTGGTAAGGGCTGCTTCCTGAGATTCGCTGAGCAGTCTGAGCAACTGGCCCTTGTTCTGGTTCTGAAGCTCAAGTTCAGGGAAGGCAGTGGCCCCGGCTACATTAGTGGGGAAAGCCTGAGGGTGATAGGTAAGCACTTGCTTGGGGTTGGCTAGACTGTATGGAAACCGTGCACTCATGTTATGTATGGTATAACACCAAGATTGATGGCCTAGAATAGGTGGTCCCCTGAGCATTTCCAGAGCAGCCTCTAAGCCTGTTGCAGATCCTTACACACACACGTATACACATGCATACCTAAAGCTGAGCTTGTAAGAGACCATTTGAACGTTCTAAAGGTCTGAGACCCTATCTCATTCATATATTATCACCTTGGTTCTTGATTTTTGGCTCCAGAAGTTTACAGCTCCCACCGTCCTAGGAAACATTGTTTATCTCTTTGTTCTAATCTTCTTCTGTGTATCTTAGAAATGTAACTCTTCTTGATTTACCCAAGAGGTGCTCACGACTAGTCTTTCTACCAAGCTGAACATCTCAGCATTTTTAGTATGGTAGTTTTGTGACTTTACATATAAAACTTGATAAATAAGGGTTTATTGAATTGAATCATACATGGCTTAAAGTAAAATGGGTTCAAAGGATGCGCCATCTACACCCAGCAGTGTTAAAAGTATATCTAACTACATTAAATCCAAAATGCATAACAATGGAAAAAATAGGGGGAAGTTTTAGAAATAACATCACATATAGAGATGTATCCAGTTATTGACTTAAATTCATATTAAAAGTCCTACCTTCTTATACACTCTTGGTGTTCTTAGAACACTGGGTTCCTGTGATGTGTTGTTTTTTCCTTTCACTTTTTGTGTTAATGTTCCAAAGGGAGCAACCAAAATTTCATCGTTGATTTAAATCTCTCCGGAGACACCCAGTACCACTGATCGTCTCTTTCCTCTGATTCTCCTCTGCAGAAATTCAGTGTCCAGATGTTTCAGAATCCAGATGGCCTATGAATCCTCTATCACCCAGAAAGGAGGAAAATATGCATGAAAGTGGAACACTGAAAAGAAAAAAAAAATAATTTAGTGTTGGCAATGTAATGGCGACATACAGGGCTCAAGGAAAAGCTTCCTTTCCTAAAGCAGCAACTTAATAAAGTGCATGTTGTAGGCTCTATCAGCAAGCCAAATTTTCATGCCTGCCTCTTCTTTCCATCACCATTAAGAGGCTTGCAGAGATCCACACTGTTTAAAGGGCAGACAGCATGGAGGAACTATCATGTACAATTTAAAGTAGCAGCTAAAATTGGAATGGTCACAAGAAAGCCTGTTTCTTTGCAATTAAATTGACAAGCTGTCTATGATTACCCTAGGGAACTTGGCAGCTGAGTGATAAAAAGACTGCAGAGTGTTGAAAGGTCTAACACAACATACTAGGTGGACAAAGACCACATCTGCTTAATATACTGATTGGGAGAGTTCTGGAATGTACTTGGCTAAATTAGCCGAGGAGGGATACTAATGATACTTTTTCCTCTCTAAGATCCTCTGCTCAGAACCCATTTTAGAAATTACCCACAAATATTTGGAAGCATGCCTTATAAATAGTATAGTGCAATACCTGATGTTATTTAGCATGAACCTATCATTACAAATCACCAGAAGAAATGAGCAGAAGTTTAGAAAGAAATAATAATAAAAAAACTCTTCCATCAAATGTTTTTGAAATATGTGTACACACACACACACACACACACACACACACACACACACATGTTTTCCTATAAAAATTAGTCTCCCAAAAAAAGATTTATAATGATATCAAGGACTAAAGAGTTGAACAACCATAGGTAATTTAATGCAGAATATTAAGTGAGAATTACATGATATTTTCATTGTTGAGTGTCCTTTGTGTTGGGCAAAGCTGGAACTTAGGTTACAAAGGAGAAAACAATAACCAGATTTTTGATGGTAGCAATTTGTGAGGACTAACACACCCATTTCAGCAATGTCTTCTTAATTTTAGTTAGTGCATTCCTTAAAGGAGAAAATGCACATACAAATGTGAAGGTTTCTTTGGATACATTTCATAGGTGTTAGTAGTACTCGACACTAAATAAATAAGTGATGGCCATATCTACTTGCCCACCTGTCCTTTCTGAAGGCTAAGGACCATTTACCTCAGCAAACTTGGAAAGTAGTTTCCATTTCCACAGTAGGATTACCCTAAACAAAATTTCTGAAGCAGAAGTCCATTGTATACTAGCTTGGCACTCACTTAAAAAACCCAGAGAATGCCCAATTAGCTTGTTAATGCTGTCTGGTCTTTGAGACCATGTGATACTTCAGCAAAATTATTCAAAGCTCAAAGTCACTCAAAAGCTCAATGACTCCAACATGAGATAAAGATTCTTAGCATCACTAATTATTAGGAAAATGCAAATTGAAATCACAATAAGATATTGTTCACATCTGCCAGAATGACTATTATCAAAAAGGTAGGAAATAACAAGTGTTGGAGAAGATGTGGAAGCAAAGGGAACCTGTGAACACTGTGGGTGGGATTGTGATTGATGTAGCTACTATGGAAAACAGTATGGAGATTCCTCAAAAAAAAAAAAAAATTAAGAGTAGAAACACCATATGGTCCAGCTGTTTGACTTCTGGGTATTTATCTGAAGAATATGAAAACACTGATTTGAAAAGATGCACCCCTATGTTCATTGCAGCATTACTTACAATAGCCAAGTTATGGAAACAGCCCAAGTGTCCATCAGTAGATGAGATGAATGGATAAAGAAGATGTGGTATATATACACAATGGACTATTACTCAGCCACAGAAAGAGTGAAGTCTTGCCATTTGTGACAGCCTGGATGGACCTTGAGGGTATTATGGTAAACAATATAAGCCAGATGGAGAGAGACAAATACTGTATGCCTTCACTCATAGGTGGGATCTAAAAAAACCCTATGAAAACAAACGAATGAATAAAATAAGACAAAAGCAAACTCATCGATACAGAGAACAGACTAGTGGTTACCAGAGAGGAATGGGTTTGGAGGTGGGCCAAATAGATGAAGGGGTTAACTGTATAGTGGTATTAACTAGACTTGGGGTGGCAATGAGTTTGTAGTGTATACAGACGTTGAATTATAAAGCTGTACACCTGAAACCTATATAATTAGAAAAAAAGAAAAAGAAAGAAAATGCCACTTATGAAATGGTAAGAATCTGTAGAGGAAACATCAATCTAGGGGAGTCCACTCATGAAATTGAATATGGTTCGAATACCATGTTCAAAGATATGGTACAATAAGATAGCTTATTATGACATAGATCTCCATTTGCTGATGTTTGGAAAGTTGTTACAAATAGTATTTATTGTTTGATTGCATTTTTATAAAGCTTTGGGTATATTAAAAAAAGATTCCTCAACAGTATATTTGGATTAATGAAACAATACCTTATATTACTGTAACACATTACACTTTACAGTGGCTTCACAGAGTAGACAGTGTTGCCCCCATTTTAAAGATGAAGGAAAGGAAGCCCAGAAAGGTTAAGTGAGTGATTTTCCCAAGGTCACATCGAAATCGGCAGAGCTGTCTCTTTGTACTTCAGTCAAAGGAAGATTGAGACAGGGTCTGATGTGGGACATAGCGTGAAACATTAAAAAAAAAAAAGTCTTTAATTTGCAAAACCTAAGTCAACACATTTGTGTAAATTGAACATTCAAACTTCCCTTTTGGGATAACTGGATGAGATGATACATGTCGGCTGATGCCTTCAGCCAGACTCCTAAGAATCTGAATCTAATTATTGAGGAAAAAACTACTTGTACTCTTTCCTCCCGTCATGTTGAAGGTTATACACTTATGTACTCATTACTTGCTTTTTCTAAGAAAATGTGCATGTGGTGAGAGGGCTGCTATAACATTCCTTTTTCCAAATGTCCCTAACTGCTACCAGCTAGTACAATGCCTTGTACAAAAGTAGGGTGGAATAAATGCTTTTTGATCTTAATTATGATTTCTGACAGATAGCAACCAAATCTTGCTCCAAAGCAATAGTTTCAGATTTATCCAACTCTTGATTAGCCCTGGAAATAGGGAAATAGCATGGATAATTGAAATCCACAGACAAACAAATCTCATGTTACAAATGGCGTCAATCTCTCCCTCAGCAAACCTTTCACTATAGCTAATAACAAAATTATGTTGACTGGTTTGAGTTTTATCATTCTGCCCCCCTCTCCACTCTGTTCTTGTTGAGGTACTGCTGAGTGGAGAAAGGGTTTACAGAAAATAGGTAACAGGATTAATAAAATCAAGAGTTGATTAGAGTAAAACATCTCTTTGTTTTATTTTGACAACTATGATACATGCATGTGGGTGTTTAACAAATGCTTTTTAATGAGAGTGATATATGATGATAAAAATATATCATCCTGTCTCTTCTTTTATCACTGACCTAGATCACAATTCCTGGGGTTGCTCAGAAACCCTCGTACCTGCCTTGTGTATTAAAGCATTACTTAATGTTATGCATGCATTTATTATAAGCCAGCAAATAAACTTCCAGCAGTAAGGACACAAAGCCTTTAAAAATATAGCATCGTGTGAGGTTAAGATCCAGAATGGAGTATATATCTTTAGTTATAGAAATATTGGGTGTCTTTAAAAATGGTCAGGCCACTTGACACATTTAGAAAATACTTCCTGTTTACCCAAGGAAAATGTACTGAGAAAAGGAGATATGGAAATTATTTGATATGTTTATTTTATGACAGTGCTACATTTTATATAAATATAGGGAAGTTGCATGCATTGGGCTGTAGAGCTACACCTTATAGAATTGGAAAGGCTGAATGCATTGGCACCAGTTCTCTACAATATCTGTGTCTTCTTTTTTCCTTATCAAGATAACTTGGATTGGTTTGAGACTGGGCTATGTGCCAGTTAAAATTTCCCACCTCCCCAGATTCTTTTACAGCTAAGGTCATGTGACTAGTTCTATTCAATGATACGTGCGCAAACTCTACCAGTGGAGGCTCTTGGCAACCAATTGTTTTCCTATTAAAAGGGACAAACTCAGCTGCTACATACCTTTAGCCATTCCTTCTTTTCACTTGGGATGCAGACACAATGCCTGGAGGTAAAGGGACCATCTTGTGACCATAAGGGGAAAACATACACGCTGAGGATGATAGGAAAGACAGGGGAAATTAAGTCTCTGATGAAATTCAGGGCCATTGAACTAGCCCCCGCCTGCCTCCCCCTAAATGAAAAATTCCTATTTGGTGAAGCCAGTGGAGTAGAGTTCCTGTTACAGACAGGTGAACGATAGAGCGAGATACAACACGTTTGTTAGAGTATGGTCTCTGAGAATATAGGCTCCTAGTACTCTACTTAGGCCGTCACTCCTATGTTTTCTTCACATTTCCCGAAGTATATCATGACGTACTCCAGCCATGGTTTCTTTCAACCAGTAGTCAGACTTGTTTGTTGGTCAACGCTCTCAGGCTACAATGTTTGTAATACTATGCATAAAGTTTAAGAACTTCCACCAGTTCCTAATTGCCTGATAATTTTTATATTTGGTTTTTTAGACCAATCTCTTAACGGCATCTCAAGTCACCATAAGAGTTGAAGTTTCATATCCAGAAGGAAACATGTATATATTCAGGTATACTCATACACGTATTTAAAATGAATCTCATATTTACAACACTCTAAGGAATCGATGCCATACAGGTCAATATTGAACAAGGTAGGCTTGGCATATTTTTTTTTTAACCTAAGTTTTTTGGAAAGGTGCATTCTATGGGAACATTTAGAATCAGAGCTGTGCTTGCTAATAGCGTACTAGAACTATAAATAAGTGATCCTTTTTAATACCTGGTGGAGATGGGGAATTGCAAGATGATGTCTATGGTTGTAAAAAGACCATCAAAAAGTTGGCAAGGAGATCATGGTCATACCATTTCCCCCATTTTTTTTCATTTTATGAACACATCCCAGAGTTTCGGGGCTGGAGTAAGAGCTTCTGCACTTGCTGCATTATGTAAACATTATAATCTGTGTCCATGTAGCTATTCCCCAGGTGTCTTTAAGCTCCTGGAGGACGGGGGTTCTATTTATTCACCCCAGTGTCTGTCACATGCTCAGCACAAGCTGA